TTCTATGAGAATGTTTTGTGTGTGTTTATATAAGCGCGCCAGGTGCTTACTGTATACCAATGAGACATCATTAAAGAGGAGCGTGTGTGTGTGTGTGTGTGTGTGTGTGTGTGTGTGTGTGTGTGTGTGTACATACCTGTATGCACCTCTCTGGAAACCATAAATTCACGATTGTCTTCAATAGAGCATCTACAGGAGTCCAAGCTCCATCACAAGCCACGACTCTGACGTCCACTTCAGCAGCACCAAGTATTCGACAGAGAAGTTAGGAGTCTTGCCTGATAGTAAAATCAGGAAATCAGAGGTTGGTGTTTGCAGCATGCCATGTCCTGACCACACAGTTGTAGTGTTGATGACAACTCAGTGGTCACTACATGAGGTGCGCTCTTCTATGCACTGTGGCCTCACAGGCTAATGGGGATTCGAACAAATGAATGACAGTAGCTCTCATTTCCAGGGCCCTGGCAGCCAAGTCATTCCTGGGGGTCAGCTCACTTGGAGGCCCTAGATGAACTTCAGGCCTCGTTGTTACTTCTTGGGGCCTGTGCTCATATACTGTCCTGGTTTGATTTCTGTTGCTGTGATAAAACACTGACCAAAAACAGCCTGGGGAAGAAAGAGTTTATTTGGCTTATACTTCTAGGTTACAGTAAATCATTGAGGGAAGTCAGGGCAGGAAACTAGAAACCATGGAAAATGGGGCTTACTGGCCTATTCTCAGCTTGCTTTCTTTAAATTTTTTTTTGATTTAGTTTTATTTTATGTATATGAGTCTTTTGCCTGCATGTATGTAAGTGCACTTGTAAGTACAATGTCTGTGAAGGCTAGAAGAGGGTGTTGGATCCCCTGGAACTGCAGTAATGGATGGTTATTAGCCATCATGTGAGTGCTGGGAACTGAACCAAGGTCCTCTGCAAGAGCAGCCAGTGCTCTTAATTGTTGAGCCATTTCTCCAGCCCCTCAACTAATTTTCTTATATGGTCCAAAACCACCTGCCTAGGGATGGTGCTTCCCACAGTGGACTGGGCCCTTCTGCATCAATTATCAGTCACCTCCCCCTGCCCCCAACCCCCGCCAATTACACAGACATGCCCACAGGCCTGTCTGTTTGGGAGAATTCAATTGAGGTTCCCTCTTGCCAGGTGACTAGGTTGTGTCAGGTTGACGATAAAAACTAACCAGCACATATACTCAGTGAGCAGTAGAGCTGGAAGTGGGAGGATGACTGTTCCTGGGCAGTTTGATTCTGGAATCTGCACCTGTTATTGTGAGCTAGACTCTTTTACAATTATGGAGCATATGAAAGGGGCCTGGATGATTTGGAGCAAGATAGAACAGGAAGCCAACAGAGCAGAATGTCTGTCAGCAGGCTCTTTGGTGTTACTACCAGTGAGGAAGCTCTTAGAACCATCATGGTCAGAGGTGACAGGCGACAGTGACTTAGAGTGAGAGTGGGGAAGAAGCTCAAGACCAAGGGGCTTGGGGGGGGAGTGTGAGATTTGAGAGGGCAAGAGAAGGCAGAAGTGAGTCTGGGACTGGAAGAACAGAGAGAGTTGCTATTTAATAGGATGTTGAAAACCAGAGTTGGAGAAGGGATGAGATGGGGGTGGGGGACAAAATTTAAAAGTTGATTATGGATGTGCTTAAAGGGCCTGGTTAGGCAGGCATGCAAGTGGTAACGGCGAGTAACCAGGCTGGGCACAAGAGCATAGTACAAGAGTAAATTCCATCTGGACACAGAAACGCCTGCTGCAGCAGACACGTGCTCACTAAAATGGGAAAAGGTTGCTCAGCAGGTCAAGGTGCCTGCCACCAAGCCTGATGACCTGTGTTCCAGCCCCAGAACCCACATGAAAGGAGAGAAACAACTCCCAAAAGTTGTTCCCTGACCTCTATGCATGTGCTGTGGTGCATACTGACACACAAATGAATGGATGTAATATTTATTTTAAAAATTGCCAGTAATGACTCTAAGTACAGGTAATTGCACATAGTTAAGTGTTTTCCTAGCAGACCCAGGAGAGATAATCAAATCTTCAGGTTTGGTGGGAGACCTTCAGAAGATGCATGAACTGTTTAATTCCCAGTAATCACATAGTGGCTAACAACCATCTGTAACTCCAGTTACAGGAGACCTGACACTCTTTTCTGATCTCTACAGGCATTGCATGACACAGGTACACCTGCTTACATGTAGGCAAAACATTCATATACACAAAAAATGTTAAACAAGAAATAAAAAAATTTTTTGGTCTTTTTGAGACAGGGTCTCCCTGTAGCCCCAGCTGACCTGGAACTCGCTATGTAGACCAGGCTGGCCTCAAACTCAGAGATCCACCTGCCTCTGCCTCCCAAGTGCCGGGATTAAAGGCGTGCACCACCACGCCTGGCTAATAAAATATGTTTTAAAGAAAGAATAGCCTCATTCCCACCTGGGTTACAGTACTGAGTTGAAGGCCTGCGTGGGCTACACTGAGAGAACAAGCAAAACAAAACAAAACAAAATAAAAACATTGGAGCAGGACATATTGGTGCACACTTGTTAGCTCAGCACCCTGTGGGCCAAGGCAGGAGGACTGCAAATTTGTGGCTAGCCTAGACTATGAGACCCTGTCTCAAAAAGCAAAACTGGGAGTTGGAGAGATGATTCAGAGGTTAAGAGCATTGACTGACCCAGGTTCGGTTCCCAGCACCCACATGGCAGCTAACAACCATTCATAACTCCAGTTCTAGGGGATCTGATGCCCTCTTCTTGCCTTTGTGGGTACTGTATGAACAAGGTGCATTTACACATAGGCAAAACACTCATACACATGAAATAGAATAGGTAAATTTAAAAAACCCAAAGAGGAAAAGCTTCATTAGTAATTTTTTAAGTATTTATAATGTAGAAGACTAGTTTTAGCTTATAATGCTGCAGAAATAATATTTTGCTTTATTTTTTTAAACATAAAAGTCCAAGGTCAAGAAGTCCCTAAGTGATGACAGAGGCTCCAAAATGAACTTCAAACCTCAAGGAAAAGGACTGGTTTTTGTGTCTCAACATGGTGAGTGTTTTAACCAGAGAACTTTCATGTCCAAGAGCCGTTACTTGTAAGCTATATACGGTTACAGTCTATGGAACTTTACCTGTGTCTTTTGACTTTTGGGCATGCAGGCAGTACTGAGGATTGAACTAGAGCCCCACATGTGCTAGGCAAGCGCTCTAACACTGAGCTCTAGCTCCAGCCTTACACACACCTTTTGGTTCACTTGTCTCTAGCTTCCTTTGGCCAGAGGAGCCTGCTCTTAGCATAGGGTCTCACTGCTGACTGCATCCGTAGGTTCTCTCTCTCTCTCTCTCTCTCTCTCTCTCTCTCTCTCTCTCTCTCTCTCTCTCTCTCTCTCTCTCTCTCTCTCTCTCTCTCTCTCTCTCTCTCTCTCTCTCTCTCTCTCTCTCTCTCTCTCTCTCTCTCTCTCTCTCTCTCTCTCTCTCTCTCTCTCTCTCTCTCTCTCTCTCTCTCTCTCTCTCTCTCTCTCTCTCTCTCTCTCTCTCTCTCTCTCTCTCTCTCTCTCTCTCTCTCTCTCTCTCTCTCTCTCTCTCTCTCTCTCTCTCTCTCTCTCTCTCTCTATATATATATATATATATATGTGTGTGTGTGTGTGTGTGTATTTTTGGGGGGGTAAAGGAATTTATGTATCCCAGGTTAGCCTCTAACTATGTAGCTGAGAATGACCTTGAACTTCTAATCCTCCTGCCTCTACCTCCCAAGTGCTGGGATAATGGGTATATGCCATTATTTCTGTTTTATGTGGCACTAGGAATGGAATCCAAGGCTTTGCGCATGCTAAGCAAGTATGCTACTGACTGACCTACATCCCCAGGCCCTCTCTTTCTATTTTTAAAGATCTTTAAGTTTAAAACAATAAACACAGGTTGGAGTGATGGCTCAGTGATTAAGAGCACCAGCTGATCTTACCAGAGGACCCAGGTTCAGCTTCCAGCACTCTTGTGGCAGCAAACAACCATCCCTAACTTCAGTTCCAAAAGATCCAATACCCTCTTCTGGCCTCCACAGGCACTGCATGCATGAAGTGCACATACATACATGCAAGCAAACATTCAGACATATAAAATTAAAATAAATAAATCTTTAAAAAAAGAAACATTTCTATCCAATGCTTCAGATTCCTCTGGCCATAACCTTTCTTCTCTTTCCCAGAGAAGGACTTTTTTCTCTCCTCACCCCCTACCCTACCTGTCTGCAAAGGCTTCCAGCCTCAGCCCCCTAGGGGTCAGGGCCCCCTAAGGCTACTGTGGAGGCCCACTTACTGGGGTTTTTGTCTACTGTGTCACTGGCCTGCTCAGCTGCATCTGGCCTCGCTCCATGACACAACAGACCCGACGGTGGCTTCCTTAGGGAGCTGTGGCCATGGTATATGGCTCTGCATCAGTACCCCCTCCCCCTAGCACTTTCTTCCTTAATGGCTCATCCCCATCAGTGTACACACATGCAAGCACCCTGCATACACCCTCTATGTACCCCACATGTACTCTGTACTACATTCAGTAAGATTTTCTATGGCACATTCCCCTCTAAACCTACTGCTGTCTCTGCACCCTTGCTGATGAAAGGCTGCAAGATGCATCTCCTCCCCTGGCTCCTCTGGCTCTCCTTTAGCTCGCCACTGCCCAACAGCTGCCCATCCTCATCAGTGACTTCTGTGTTTCAGCCTCCACTAATCCTGTCCTGTCAGTATTCAGGAAAGAGCAGCCCCAGACTCTGCCTCCCTCTAGAGAACACTCCTTGTTCTCTTTTCCTCTGGAGTGAATCCAAAAGTTCAATGAATTCTTCAGTGGTGACCAGCATCCTCTTTGAGGACCATACTTACTGAAGACCCTTCCAAAATCAAGACATATTGTTCACATGACAGAAACAGAGCTCTAAAGGGAATCCCAATTAATGCCTCCAATTTTTTTTACATTTATTGTGTGTTTGTGCCACAGTGTGCGTGTGTTAAGTCAGAAGACAATTTGTCTCTCTCCTTCCCATGTGGGTCCCAGGGATTGAACTCAGGTCACCTGACTTGGTAGCAAGCACATTACCCACTGATCCACCTGCCAACACTGCCACTGTGCCCAGTTTGGCAACTGATCTTAAGCTCCAGCTGTACCTTTGTCCTGGACCTTCCTGGCCACTCCTTTTACATTGTTTGAGCATCTAGTATGTGCCAGCTGCTGTGCCTGTGGCTACTGCTCTTTCTGCTCTCACAGCCATTCTCCCGACCCACAAAATCCCGCTTCATCTGCTGACTGCAAGTGAGTGCTGTAACACTGTCCTCAAACTAGGTCCCCAGTTGAGAGGGAATACAAGATGTGATCCTTCGTTTTCAAACTTGTTCTGACTTTAAAAATTAGAGTCCTGGATTGCACAATTCCATTCTCTGAATTTTATTTTATTTTTTATGGTGGTAGGGATAGAATCTAGGCCCTCACACATGCAAGTGCTTACCATTGAGCTACAAGCCCAGTGCCAACTCTTTTAATTTTAAATTTTGTCACATGACTAGGAAAAAAAAGTTAAACTAGGTATGGTGGTGCATGCATTTAATCCCAGCACTTGGCAGAGGCAGGTGGATCTCTGTGAGTTCAAGGCCAGCCTGGTCTACAAAGTGAGTTCCAGGTCATCTGGGGCTACAGGGAGACTCTGACTCAAAAAGATTAAAAAAAAAAAAGATAAAAAAAATATGTGTGTGTGTGTGTGTGTGTGTGTGTGCATGTGAGTGCAGGTGCCTGAGGAGGCCAGAAGAAGGCACTGGATTTCCTGGAGTGAGTTACAGGAAAGTGTGCCAGCCAATATAGGTGTGGGGAACTGAACTTTGATCCTCTGGAAGATTAGTACACTCTTAACTGTTGAGCCATCTCTAGCCTCAGGTTAGGATTTCTTTCTTTTTTTAATTTTATTTATTATTTTATTTTATGTGTATGCGTATATTGCCTGCACCCATGCTGTGCAATGCCCATGGAGGACAGAAGAGGCTGTTGGATCCCCTGGAACTAGAGTTATGGACAGTTGTTAGTTGCCATGTGGGTGCTGGGATTCGAACCCAGGTCTTCTGCAAGAACAGCCAGTGTTCTTAACTGCTGAGCCATCTCTCCAGCCCCATGTTAGGATTTCTTAACAGGCTAGAAGAACTTCCAGGTGTGGTGGGGTGTACCTGTGATCCCACCACTTGGTAGGTAGAGGCAGGAGAATCAGAGGAATTCAGGGTCCTTGTCAGCTATAGAGTTAAGTGTAAGAGAAGCCTGACCTACATGAGACTCTGTCTCAAAACAAAACAAAACAAAAACGACTGGAAAAAATATAATGATTTAGAAGAATTAGCTATCATTTAGCTCAGACAAGACAGGAAGAAAGGGAGCTCAACAGTTAAGTACTGGCTGTTCTTGCAGAGGACCTAGGTTTGATTCCCAGCAGCCACAGGGCAGCTAACAACCACCTGTAACTATAGTTCCAGGGGATCTACTCCCTCTTCTGGTCTCTGGGAGCACTGAATGACACAGGTGGAAGGAAGGAAGGAAGGAAGGAAGGAAGGAAGGAAGGAAGGA